ATTATCGCCAGGTTATGTAGCACCATGCAGAATCAGTCCTGCTTTTTGAAGGAGAGAGGTCATTTTTGTAGGACAGTTGTGTCCCAGCAACCTGAACTTTTTTGATAAATGTCAAAAGAATTACTTGGTCTGCTGCTTTGTTCCTTATGGTATTAACATGTACAAAAGCAGCTCAAACTGGGCTCTGGACATCTGAGCTATATGCAAAAGTGCTTAAAAGTACTTGCTGAGGAGCAAAATAGAAAACAGCTTGGCACCATTTGCCCTTCTTGTCAGGAGCAAAGAATATCTTCACTCTTAAAAACATTCTGCCCTTTTTTTGTTGAAGCTCCAAAAAACGACGCATATTCCTCACAATAAAGTGCAAAAAATTGGTTCTGAATATTTTGCCTTTTTGTACTGTTTATTCTCAGAGTTCATTGTGCAGTGGCCTTCAGGTTCAATAGGATTTCAAAAAACGAGCCTTTCAACCTAAAAAAACTTGTGCTAACTGTAGTAAAAGTGGTGCTTCCTTTAAACCTTACTAAAAACGTAGCTTGCATACTTGCTATACAAACTACAGACTAACCCACTACGGCTGAATGATTTGGAGAAAAAAAAATCTAGTTGCAATTTTTCTGACCAGCACTGCAACTGTAATTTAAATATGGTTAGTTTCTATAAATTAAACTTTTTCCCCCCTCACAAACATCAGCATATCCATTTTTTTCAGGACGGGTCTAGATGGGGACGCTGAAAGACGTGTATTAGACTGCCAGCTCAAGGGCTCTGCATTATTAGGTTGAACTTCCCCTCTTAAAACCTGTGGAGACCGTATTGAATAATGCCAGGTATAATTAATATTGCAACTTATGACTTGAATACTGCTCTCCTTCAAATTGTGATTTTGTTATTTAATAATGACTTGTGCAGGTCTACCTACCACAAACCAAGTTGTTTTGCTTTGTCCTTTAAACACAGGATTGACTGCATGAAGCACTTCTTTTGTATGGTTCAGACTGAAGGTTTTTTCTATAAAGACTTATTTGAAGCCCTGCAGAACCTGACAGGTTTTTAGTGGGGTTTACTTTTGTACAACACAATTCCTGCAGCTAATAACAAGACAAAATAAAATCTCTTAAAGACTTGAGACTTCAGACTCAAACCAGGAATAGGGATGTGCCTAATATTCTCACAATTATGAGCAAAATCATAACATTTTACAGTCCTGTGAAAATTGTTAGTCTGTACATTTTCTTCTCCTTCTTGTGCTGGAAAGGAACAAGTATCTGAACAGTGATTCCAGTATTTGAATACAGGCATCTCAAATGGTTAACAAAGTACTCGAGCACTCAAGCACATGCCTACTCGAGACTCGACTCGGACTCATGTGAAGCAACTTCTGAACATCGACAATACAAGCATTTGTGCGTCAGAGCAAAGAGTGAGGGAACAGACACAGCATGTGCTGAAAAGTGGGTCGCAGGTTGTGTTTGAGGGTGTGAAGGCAATGAAATGGGTGGTGAAAGCTAAAGATGATGCAAGTGTAAGAGGAGCGGGGTCAAGCTCGTGGGTGTGAAGTGTGTGTGACTCAGGTAAAGGCCCCGAGGATGCTGGGCTGCAATGACCAGCTGCAGCTGCTGATTTGCCGCTCCGTTGAGCATGTTAATACAGCAGAGAACTGGGTGCCTTTGGAGGGGAGCAACATGAGTACTTTCACTGCTCTACTTTTCTTCTCTTCTCTCACATGTAGGCATCCCTGGACACAATGCTGCAAACTTCCAGCTGGAAGAAGAGCAGTGTTATGAGCCTGTAGACACTGCCAGGGGAAATCTGAGCTGCACACGGATGCTGTCGCCATTAAAGATAGAGTACCAGCACCAACCACCATCTCAATCCCACCAGACTCAGCAGAAACTTCCACTCACACTAAAAAACACATATTCAGAGTCCCTGAGCTGGCCACAAGAGCAGTTAGAAATTCTGGTAACATGTCTGCGAGTTCTTGAAGGAACGGATCGGAGAAAAATCAAATGTACAGAATTTTCCACTTACCCCAGATGTAGTCCATCAGCCGAGACATGCTTGGCATCCAGGTTTTGCTTCTTTAGTTTACCGCTGGAGCTACAAGGCTAAGGCCAACACTAGAAAGTAACAGTGACTCAAAGCTTCTCTGCAAATACATTCCTAAAACTTCTGTCAATCTGCATCCAGGGCTTTATTAAATGGGAATCCTATGGTTCTAATTTGATGGTTAAAAGTCATAGAGAACAGTTTGATGTGAAATGCATCATTGTAGAGAAACTTACTGTTTCTTTACTGTGGTGTGGACAAGAAGAGACCATTTTATTTATGATTCAAAACCACCAGCGAACCTGCCTGTGTCTAAGTTTATGTAATGGAGATAATGGTAAAATGGTGGTAAATCTGGAAAAAAAAAAAAAGTTTTCTTTGCAGACTGTTTTGCCTTTCGGTGACCTTCATGTACCTCTCCACCATGAATGTGTTTTAAAAAATATATGATTCAGGCCAAAATCTTACTTCAAAACTACTGCAGAACAATGTCTCAAACATTAGGAAGCATACTCATAACCATTTCATGCAATAACTTTCAGATAGTTTGAAAAATGCCGAAAGTTTGAAAAATCAGTAGAATTTCTGTTTATAGTTCGCACAGATTTGTCAATGAGGTTTAGGACACAGCAGCATGACTTATTGGGAGCTATAAAAATGCCCAAAATTTAGATGCAGTGCCTTTGTGCCTCTATAACGTGGTGATCAAGTAGGAATTCAACACAACACCCCTGTTGCCTATAATGACTGCCTGCAGTGATCAGCTACACGGTGAAGTTTCGGTCAATAGAGTCCACAGTAAGTCACACTTAGGGAGGAGTATCAAAAACCGATACTTAATTGGATCGGTTCCTGACTGGTCAGTGCTGAAATATCTATAAGCTTCTGGACAAACAGTACTGCTATTTGCATTTATGTAACGTTTATTCATTCTACACAGCAGACATTTTCAAATGGTTAGTGCTCGTTCGGATCAGAGGGAGGGTCGCTTGGCTCTGTGAGATGAAAGCATTCACATGCCTCCGACTACCTTAACCATTTCGGATGCTGAGTGTCATTCTGCTGGCTGAAAGGGCGGGACGCTCAAAAGCGTGAGCTCACTTCACTAAATTTAATGATAATGCAGCAAAATGCAATATATGTAAAGCCGTAGCTGCTTGTAAAGGGGGTAACACCAGCAACCTCATGAAACATGAATACAACATTCTATAAACCTGAAGCAGTGCAACATATTTGCTTTAGCAAAGCGGCAGCTGCACCTATGTCCTCAGTGATCCTGGTGTTGTGATGAATTGTGCTACCTTGTCGAAATGTCCTATTATCGTGCATGTTTTTAGGTAGTTCCCTACATAAAACTCAAGGTAGGACATTTTGCTTAAATGACCTAATCAAAAGTGCTACCAGCATTAAAACTGCAAAGCTGAAGTCAGCTTCCTACACGCCTTCTTGTCTAAATTTACAGCAGCTATTATTATAATGCCTGAGATGTCAGAATGTAACTGCTGCACCATTTAAGGTGGAACGGGAAAATTCGAACCAGAAGCTGGCGGACTGGAAGCCAACTTCAGCCTCATGTAAACACAGGTAGGATAGTTTGATAGTCTAACTGTCCTCATCAGAAAATGTTTTCAGCATTAAAATAATAATAATTATTGTTAGGATATTTTCAGAGCTGAGTCTGTACTGAATTAAAATTTGGTAGCTAGCATAGCATAAATCGTTTCAACTTAGTGTAAGCTGTTCTGACAACAAGGGGTAACCAGTTTTGTACTGCTTATGGTTGTTGATATTTTTAATAGGAGGGAGATGACCACAGCCTTTTCACATCTTTTCAAGTCATGTTCATGTTTTTCGCACAAAATTACGAAAAGTAGTTTCAATAAGTGTATCGCTACGTATCTGTATCGATAAGCAGTATCCATCCCTAGTCATACTGTGTCCTAAAACACATCGGCTATTAAATCACACACAAACATACACATACTCGCTCTTACGCAGCCTCAGAGACAAGTCTGCTCACCCTTACTGAAAACCTGGACATAGTTTATAATGACTTCTAGTGTTTGTTAGTAGTGGTATCCTCATGGCTCCAGTTTAAAACCAAGGAAACAAAATTTGGCACCAAACATGTCTCTACTGATCAATTACATCTGATGTAATTGGAAAAATGTGTCGCTGAAGCAATCCTTTAATATCCCGGCTTCTTCAAGATGTGAAACTGAAGCTCTAAGTAAATCTGAATCTTCATTTTGTTTAGATTTTTTTTTTTTGGTTTGGAGCCTTTCTTATTTTTAACATTTCTTGTTTAGCCTCCAGCAGAGATCTTGCCGGGTGGTAAACTGAGACACAAACATACACATACTCACTCATACGCAGCCTCAGAGACTCCACTGCTGTCAGAAAAGCTAAATCACATACCGCCCGCTTCTCTGTTAAGTTCATAAAAGGGCCTCAGCAGCACAGAGGGGATACACTATGCACAATGCTTTTACACATCTCAACTGCACTGTCGAAAAGGGAAGTGCAATCACCTGCTCGGGGGACGAATACAAAAAAAAGAATATAACAATGCATGATGAGTACTGTATTACAGTAATGATTATTTTTTTTCCCCAGATCGATAATATAATTTTAAACAGTTCTTTTACAGAGGATGTAACCACATAATCCTCAGAGTCTATGTGAAAACGTGATTAAGCCTTTAAAAGGCTTGTCTGGCACAACAATCAATAAAATAATAGGCCAAACGCTAACAACTAAACACTATGCAGAACAGCCAAGTTCTCAGAAAATCCACTGAATGAAATATTCAGCACTTGGAAATGTGAGTGAAGTGCTCGTACATTTTTTACACATATGTACGCGGAGGGACGTAGCTGAACGCAACTGAAACAAAACAGTGTTATACAGGAGCAAGGGGTTAGGGCAGGGCACGCAACCACACTCACCTCAGTGGGAGCAGAGGGCTCATCGGCTCGTTTGATCTCAGCCTCAGGGCCACGCAGGGTCTGCAGGAACAGGGCTGCTTTCCTCTTGCGCTCGGCCTGGAGCTGCTTCTCCTTCGACTCTTTGGAAGCCTGAGCCAGCTTCTCCCTCGCAGCTGCCGCCAAGCGGTCCTCCAGCTTCTGCTTGGCTGCAGGGGGAAACAGGCAGTAGGGTTAGACACGCACGGTCCAAAACTATAAAAGTAAGAAGTGCTTTTTTTAAAGTTTCAAAACTTCTTTGTCAAGAACCAAATCAACAAAAAAAAACGTTTTGTTGGTGTTCCAAAATATTCTATCCCTCGTCAGCAGAAAGCCCAGTCTATATAAACTAAATAAAAAAATAATAAAATTTCAATATAAATACTGGACATTAAAGGACAAAATTGAATCTGTTTTTTCCAAACTGTGAAGTATTCATTTGATTGGTGCACACACACACACACACACACACACACACACACACACACACACACTCTAACTAAACCGCTTATCTAGAGCCTATTCCAGCGGTCATTGGGCGGAAGGCAGGAACCACCCAGGACAGGTTGCTAGTCCATCACAGGGCAGACAGACAGCCATACACATTCACACACATATTCACACCTAGGGGCAATTTAGCATGTCCAATTGGTCCCGACTGCATATCTTCAGACTGTGGAAGCAAACCTGGAGCACCCAGAGGAAACCCACACAGACACGGGGGACAGCATGCGAACTCTTGATTGAGACAACGGAATAAAAAAAAGAAAAAAAAAAGAGAAAAAAAAAGAAAAATCAGTGTTTTTTTTTGTTTGTTTTCAGCTGGTTTCCATGTTGAATAGTCCTCAGCTGTGTTGTGGTTGTGTTTTGTTTAAGGCTGTTTTCAAATGTTTACCAAAAGACTGAAATGGCCTACGCACACTGTTGTGGTCAGGCTAGGGATGCAAATTTTTGCTAATACTTTAGACCATCATTAAACAGCGAATAATCATCAAGCCTAAAATCAAGGATGCAACCCATCAAAACATCAATTATCAAACAATTCTGAAATCTGATTGGCTGAGCCATATTTAAATTCGATGTAAAATATGTGATTATTTTGCACACTTATGAGTGCACACTGAATTCTGTCTTAATGAGCCAAGACAGTACAAAAGTTTCTGTGTATAGATCTTTGAAAGCGGTACTGATCGGTAGTGTCAGTTTCAGTTTTTATTTAAACTGAAGGGAAACTGTTGATGACTATATATCAAAAAAAAAAAAGGAATACATAACGTGCTGCTTGAAAATTCTATATCTTGAAGTTACACAGTTATTTTTCACTCATTACTCGTCCACGTTAACACGAACACACCATGACTGGGGCTAGCTTTGGTTCAGTGTACCTCACTAGCTTTTGAGGTTTTTTTACCTTTAAGGTTGTTTTAACCAACAGCATTGGTCGAACAACTGTTTATTTGTTGGTTAATGGCTATTCGTTTTATCATTTACATCTCTCGTTTGGACTAAACAACTGTGGAACTGGGAGGCATCTGGCACATAAAAATCCCTTGAAATCCAAACTTATTTTTCAGTCATGCTCTTTGCCTTGCCAGCAATGTCCTTCAAAATTGGACTGTGTCCTTCAAAAGGAGGGCTAATTCCACAGGGGTGGTTCTATACAATCTGGTGATGTTGTCTTGCCTGGAATTTGTGGCTATATTTCGACATATCAGTGATTACACTTGGTTATATTTGTCCAGCCATGCAGTCGGTTTAAAACAACTGCAAGTGGTTAAAATAAAACTCCAGACGTTTTATTTTAAACAGTTGCAGTTAAAGTCAAAGCCTATGCTAAAGAACATATTACTGTCCATTATGCTTTGAAACAATAAAATTGACCCATTTATAGCATTAACTCTGGCACAATTCAGCAGCAGCTCCTGTTAGTGCTGAGGGCTATATGTTTTCTAGTGGCAGCAGCTTTTTAGTTTGTTTGGGCTTCATTAAGTTGCTTATGGTGCTGAACGGTTGCCCAGGCTGAGGTATAACAGCCTTAAAAACATCCAACTCTTCAAAAACTCAAAACGAATAGAAAGTACAGCAATGCTGCAATGATGAAAAAAGAAAATGACAAAGTTTGAGGTTTCATTTCTTTTTAATAACCTCTCAACCAGGAACTGCAGAAAGAGTGCAATGGCCGGTTGGTGACCTGCTCGGAGTTTATTAGCATGGAAAACGCACAGCGGGTGTTGATATTTAAAAGCCTCGGCCGCTGCAGTACTAAAGCTGGCATGGCAGCTGCGGCGCTTCCTGACTGGGCCTGTAAAAGCCATCTAGCTAAGCAAAGATGGGCTCTAGGTGGAACTTGAATTTGACAATGGCTCAGCTTAGCTAAGCATGAGTGGGCAGAGAGCTCATGTGTTTCTGCAGTTTGTTCGACGGAAGTGCACGTCAAGAGAAAATAAGTCACTACATTACGCAAGCAAAGGAGAACACGGTCCCTATCCTTCTTACTAAAAATAGGCCCCCTGCCACGCAGCATCATATGAAACACTGTGTGAATACTACGGGTGAGAGAACAGGCTCAGTGCTCACTCGCACTCGACGAGGAAAAGGGCAAGAAGGAGGAGAGGAGTTGGGAGAAAGGAAACAGAGCGGAGAAACAGAAGAAAATGAGAAAAAGGATATAAAGGAAAAAAGACGTGTTCAGACACGCCCCATTCAGCACTACAATGTCTGCACAACTGTTCTTAAAGGAAAAAACTAAATGGCTTTGAAACAAAATCAAGTCTATAGTAGCCATAACTGGTTACCAAGAGAGTAATGATGCAGCATGATGACATATCACTATGCAAAAATGTGCAAATTGTTGCGATAATCATCTACATTGTATTAATTATGCTAATTCAGTCTTAAAAATAAAGGTTCATGAATAGCTCTTGAGTTGGATGCTTGGCTCTAGGAAAAACTATTTAAAAAAAAAAAAAGTCTTTCTATAATACGTTACTTGAACCCTGCCACATAAAACTGTAATGGTATATGCTGCAGAGTTGTAATAACAGATTTTGTCCAGTAATAAAAGTTTTATGTTACCATTGTTTGTCATGACGTTATAACCTTGAAGGTCATGACTGCTAAATAGAGCACGTTCAGCAAAAAATAACACGTAACATAAGCTGTCATGACACTTACTGATTACAGTAATAAAATGCTGTTATATTATTGAATAAAATCTGTCATGCTAACTCATGACAGACTTTTTCAGAATATAAGAATAAAAAGAAAACGGTGGAATAAACGGATATTTGTTTGTAGTTCATCTTAGATTCATAAGAATGAATTATACATGCTATATATTAATAAAAAAATGTTAACGTACAATATAACAAAATAAAATATCTTTTATCATTAGTATGCAACTTTGCATTGTAACTTTTGGAAGTAAGTGATTCTGAGATTATTTTCTGCCTCTTCTTCTCTAAAACATTCAGAATCAGAACCTAAAGTCAACAGCATACACTCATTTTTATTATTAAATGAAAGCAGCAATAAAAGCACTCCGATCTGCCCTCTGGGTATGTTTGAATTTTGGAGCTAATAAACATCGACAAACAAATAATACAGTCATCTCAAATTGAGGCAGTGCACTTGACTGGTCCCGAAAACAATGTCTGAGTCCTCCTTAACCAGATACAGAGAAAAGCATGAGTCAAAATGACGTTGAGAGCGAGACAAAGTCGAGACCATTAATTTGCTCTGAAGAGCAAGACCGGACTCCAGCACTTAAACACTATTCTGTAGTGCAGCACTGCATCTCTCAGCATCATCAGTTTTTGCATTTTCAATCCATCAATGTTCTCTAACTACAATACCCAACATGCATTGTCCAAATACAGCATACAAGTCCTGGGAATCCTCTCCACAAAAATTAAACATGCACTAAAGTACAGGCTACCTAACAGACATGACCCAAGCAGTAATGTTGGCTTGGCCTTGTGCCTTCGCCCCAAAGAACATGTCGCTCCTCACATCTTCAAGAAGCATGATCACATGGGTTTTTCTTTCTTTTTTTTTTGGTCTTTTTGTCTTTAAACTAGAAAATCTCACTCTCAGTACTACTGTGGTTCTAATGGAAGAGGCATGTCATAGATGGTCATAGCCACGGTCATGTTTTTCATTTTGGCCAGAGTGCCTCTTCAGGAGCGCAACTGTAAAGTGGGAACACCAAAGGCTGCAGTCAACACATTCCCAGCTCTAGTCTCTATGATACGATAGACTCAACATTATTCTTCATTCCATTTTGTTCAAACATTTGGAAAAATATGAAATCATGAACTCAGTAATGTAAAACAAATTGAACTGTAAGCTGGCTGTCCAGCTTAAAACTGAACTGAATGCTTACTTATGCATAGCTAACATAGCTATGCACTCGCCTTAATGAAGCCGTCCACAAACAAGAAGGAACAGTTCTTAGGGTGATACTGATTTCCTTAACAAATCAAGAGTCACAGCTTGGCCCATGATCAAACACATATGGTCCCTGGTCAAATAAGCTAATGAAGAGAGCACACATATGCACTTCACTAAATGGCCCTGATTCATTCAATTAAAGCAATGGGCTCATTCAACATCAGCACCGCTAAAACCTCTCAGCAGTTAAGTCTACAATACACACAGGAGTACAGCCACCAGCACTGCACCTCCCTCGGTCTCTCTGTTTCTCTGAAGCACCCTCACCTTCGTTTCATATGAGAAATCTAGACGACAAAAAACATAAACAAGCACGATCTCCAACACAGGAGCTGAGAATGGGACACTACTTCTGCTTGAGATGGACTGATAGGGAATTTCTGGGCCAATACAATAATCAGTAACACCTTATTAGGGCCAACACTGATACCATAAACCAGTAATTTAAATTATTTATTTAAATTTAATTCATTTTTTAATGTTTTACATTATTTTATGTAGATATTTTGCATCAGTAAGTAAACCTCTTATCTAAATATAAAGAACAGGAATATGGATTGGACTCACTACAACAACCAACAAAGTTAGATAACAATAAAAAAATCATCATTACCAATGATGAACCTGACATGATGCCATTTATCAAAACAAAATCAAACATTAACAATAATAATAACAAAAAAGTTATACCCATGTAGCCAAGGCTGCACAATAGAAA